ATATTGAATGTGCCATCTTGAATTTCCAAATTTTGACAAAAGAACCATGGTTTCCGACCCCAAAAATCTCCAGATACCAATTTTGATTAGAATTGGAACATAATTACACAACTCCTTTGCCATATTGGATCCGCAATCTTGAATTTCCTAATTTTGACGACGGAATCTTCATCTCCGACCACGAAAACCTCCAGATACCAATTTTGAATGGAATCGGATCATAATTACAAAACTCCTTCGCCATATTGGATCCGCAATCTTGAATTTCCTAATTTTGCTGACGGAATCATTATCTCCGACCACGAAGACCTCCAGATACCAATTTTGAATAGAATCGGACGGTAATTATACAAAACTCGTTTGTCAGATTGAATCGGCATCTCGAATTTCCGAATTTCAACGAAATAATCATAATTTCTGTCTCCGAAAACCCCGAGATACCAATTTTGAATAGAATCGACCCATAATTTCAAAAAACTCGTCCGCTATATTGGATCGACAATTTCGAATTTTCTAATGTTGACGACGTTATCATAATTTCCAACCCCGAGAACCCCCAGTTGCCAATTTTGAATAGAATCGGACTGTAATTACAAAACTCGTCCGCCATATTGGATCCGCCATCTTGAATTCCAGAATTTTGATGAAAGAATCATACTCTCCGATCCCGAAAACCCCCAGATACCAATTTTGAATAACATCGGATTTCAAAAGTTTTTGCCTATCGTACCAGATGGAGTCTCTCAAATTAGGTTAAGTATGTAGATTACTTTTTTTTTTATTTATTTAACGTCGGCCTTTTTCTGCTACTGAGGTTAATCACCGACGCCGGTGAGCACATACTAATACTCCCAACCGGAAATTTTGCCGAATCTGGTATTCCAACTAGAGATGTATAGGGATCTTTAACGAGTCCAACATCCATGATGGCCTCGGGACCGCCGGCATAACGTCCCCTCCGAAGGACGGCATATCCGTATCATATCTTGTGCTCATTGCTAGCTATGATATGCTATTTCGCAACAGATGTTACGGGCTTACGCGGCGTTTCCTCGGATGGTCACCTATCCGAGTTCTAACCGCGCTCGACACTGCTTTTCAGATACCGAAAGGCTAGTGCCTAATTTCAAGGTTTTCAATAAAATGATCTCGGAGGGTAGCTATACCTAATAACACAAGATGAATATTTAGACGAGAGGCTAATGGTATAGGTATATACTTATAGGGAACGATGTTGTCTTTCAGCTCCAAAACAATTTGTGAAGAAGGATCTCGCATCGCACGTCGCGCCCAAACACGCAATTAAGCCTCCTTCATCCTATTTGTCAATCTCGTAATCCTATCAAATATAATTCGCTGTCACGTAAGCAGACGTCAAATTGGAGCGCTGTCAATACATCGCGGATGAACGTGAACAGACCTTATCCGCTATTTCGCATCGCCGTTTCGACAAAATATAGACTCTTCTTTTTCATGAGCTGCCATCAGTCACAGCGGTGATGGAAAATTGAATGAAATGGAAATATAATATTCACCTATAATGGGTATATGTATATACAGGGTGATTCGTTGGGAAATTCGCATACAGTAATGGTAGATGCGGAGGATACCGAGGTGCGCTTTTTAATAAGTATGAGTAATCAATATTTTACGGGTCTATTGTTATTCTTTATAACTATCAAGAAACATCAGGGTAATTCCCCCCATATTTACAATCAATCATAACTTATGAACCACACCCTATATATACATTTTTGTAATATTTGGTACCTACACTGGAAAAATTTTTTGTAAATTCCACTCAAGGTCCACGCATAATGTGCCAATGTCCACGCCCGATTGAGTTGAAATATTACCCTATACTTAACTGTGTAAAATGGCAATTCTTGAGCCGATTCAATCAAATTCGTTGTGAACATTCTCATATTGAATGAAAAATGATGAAATATCTATAGTTTGAGTAAATCAGTAAATTCACTCAAATGAATTTTCTACAGTTCTTTGTCTGCACAGTATGGTGTCGATTAACATAATATAACATAATATTAAAAAAGCTTTCATCATGTCCAGTCAGTTCAGCGTTGAAAAGATTGTACTCAATATGTAAATTCCATTTACAAATATAGAAAACATAAGTGAGACTAAATGTATTTGGTGTTTCCGCATTTTTTTTTTCTCTTATAACTTTTTTATAGTCTATGCCCCATCAAAAATATATGCCGCTCCCGAAACCGAATGAAAATTCAATCGAACTATATAGGTACACCTAATGTAAATATGACTCCAGATTCTAATTTGGATGAATTTGGTATCACTGATGCGGGGAAAGAGTTTTTGCAGAGCATTTCTTGCTATATGCCATCACGAGAAATCCTAATTTTCGATCAGAAGCAGCACATTGAAATCTCATGATAGCAATAAGGATTTTGCTGAAAGTGAATTTTCTGACAGAAAGGTATATATATACTGCTGTCGCCATATCAGGCATATGCATGTACCTATATAGCTGCGAGGTTTGTTGCATTGAACTGCCACGAAAATAATATTTGAAGAATCTACTTGTGGTTAGTAGAAAAATTAGCTATAGCGATTGGCGATAACCTAATTTATTTTGTAAGTGCGGGAGTTAGTGGTCATTGAATATTGTGAAGTTTAGGAGCATCGGCTGGGGATATTCCTGCACGATTCGCTGTTGCGTTCCAATTAACAGTGCTGCGTGGACTTAGTAACAAAGCCTACATAGAACACGCAGAAAGAGATGATGATGTGGTTGTGAGCATCAGAGAAGAAGTATAGGACGGTGTATGTAGGTGGGTGTGGAAAACTACCAGCTGAGCGTGAGAGCGGGCCAATGCTGGTTAGTGGACCTCGGTCTCTAACGGGGTTAACGAGAATAGCAGCAGACCTGCCACTGCAGCAGATGGTAGTGAGTTTATTACTAGCCTACAAAGCAGTCGAAGAACTCTGAAAGAGAGCAGATGGACGGTGCCCGAGAGCAGCTCTCTTAAGTGAAACACATCACTCATTGAATACACCTTGGGGCTTGCAAAAAGGTCCCAATAAGGACTATAGTTGCTGAAGTGCAAAACGTCCCCACCAGTTACAGTACCAGTACCAGTAGTGGTCATCGATGGATCCTTGACGGTCCACCGATACTTATATCTACCTATATTCATGAGATATTGAAGAATCACGTTGTATACCTTTCAGTGGATATAATACATGCGATGGCTTCATCCTAATGCAGGAATGCACGACCACATAAATAATGTGTGTTACACAATGAACATCTATGGGACATGCTTGGTAGACCAGTCAGAGATCGCGAAGTAGCTCCGGTTATACAGTCAATGAGCTTCATTTTCATTTATAGACTTCAGGAGGAATGGCACAATATTCCTCAGGATGCTATTCGTAACCTTATATTGACAGCCAGGTATTTATGAACCGACGTATGCAGGCAGTTAGTTATAAGAGCCATAGAAGTGGTGAATATTGAGCAAACTATATTGATTGTGGAAAGTATGTTTTTTAGGTTGATTTAGCTGAAATTCAATTTATTGAAGTGATGCTGGAATTGGAGTTTTCAACAAACATTCTTTTGTCAAGTTGTTTTCTCTTTTGAAAATGAACCAGTAGGTACATGGACAGAATATCAAAATATAGGTATAGGAAAGTAATGGTTCCTAACAAAAATAGATATTTCGAAAGAATTTATTGGTTGCCAAGTTATTCCACAGTGTGTTTTAAAATTGAGGTTATACAATACAAATTTCTCATAATTAATAGTTTGCTTTAAAAACTTTGAAAATCGAACCAAAAATAAATGTTATTGACTTCAAATTTCCACGAATACTTATATCTATATATATATTATATATACAGGCTGACTGACAAAAAACGCCCCAAGCCATAGCGCCGCTATTTATTATCCGATTTTGAAAAACAAAGAAGCAATGGAAATGATATATCAGATACTATACAAGGTGGCACTAACAATTTTTTTTTAATTCCAACTCTAACGACGCCGATTGTCAACTTTTTTTTTCGAATGGAAACGTATATATTTTTAAATTTTTTTCTGATTGAGATTTTTTTTCTGATAGAGATTTTTTTTCTGAATACAGTCATAGACAATGTAATGAAGAGACCCATTTCTTGTCGGCGGAGAATTGATTTTTGTCAACTAATTTTGTGCAAAAATCAACTTGTTATACATGACTGTATTCATAAAAAAATTTCTATCAGAAAAAAAATTGAAAAATATATGTTAACGTTTGAAAAAAAAATTGACAATCGGCGTCGTTAGAGTTGAAATTAAAAAAAAATTGTTAGTGTCACCTTGTAGTATCTGATATATCATTTCATTTGCTTTTTTGTTTTTCAAAATCGGATAATAAATAGCGGCGCTATGGCTTGGGGCGTTTTTTGTCAGTCAGCCTGTATATAGATATACTTTGAAACAAATTTGTTCTTTTTATAAACAGAAGAATCAATTAAAATACAAAAACAGATTCAGAATGTGCATTTTTACCTTACACATCGACTATACAGATGTCCTCATTTCACCATTTGTGCATGCTGTGATGATGAGTGTGAAGACTGTGAAGTACAAAAAATGAGAACAGTTTTCTTAGATCAACACTAGCCAATTTGGATTTTATTTTTCGTAATAATAAGTATCACAACCTGACAAATAATATATGAAGTGAAAGCTTCTGAAAACTATATAGTAGCTATATAGTAACTAACTAAAAAGGCTTGATATTGAGTGTGGCGGTATATATATAGGACGGAGGGCATGCACGATAAACTTATTTTAATATACCAGGTGGTGCGGTGATGGTGGGTGGGTCATCATGCATACTAATGCATAGGCATCATCAGAAGGCCATCATAGGCACATTCTACGAAAGAGTTTCATTCAAAATTCACATGGAAGTATAGGCGGACGACCTGACGTCCATTTTAGGCGGGAAAAATTCGCAACCGCTACTCACCGGCACTCTCGACATTCCCGGGAGTCTGGGCTCGCTCCATCATCAGCTCGTCCCCCTTCCTGACCAAACCCAAAATGTTGTCGATGGTGTGCCGAGGCCCTGAAGTCGGACTGGGCACCAACCTCATAGGCTTAACGTCCAAACCGTAATTGAGAATACTGGAAGTATCTTCACAGCGGTCCGAATCCATCGCGCGCTTTCGACCGACTGAAGTTGGCAACCACGCTTCGCTTTCGAGGGGCGGTAAAGTGGGCGTGGCTGGGCTTAGGGCACCAATGACGTTCGACGAACATCCATCATGGAGGCTACAAGAGTCGACAGAGAGGTAATGTGGATGCCCGACAACTCTAATGAGTTCTGTGCCGTGGATTTTATGGTGCAAAAGCTTCAAATTGGTGTCAATAGTCGGGAATTAAGTTGAGTAAAGTGCTATTGCTACTTGGTGTTTGAGTGGGGTTAACCAATGAAAAGGTTTCATCAACTCGTTCGCACTCAATTTTCAGGCATTCATTGTGTTTTCGTTTCAGGCATCTTTGAGGTGCCTATGCAATAGATGCATACCTATATAGGTACATACCTATGATACCTTTAGGGTGATAGAAAATGTGTTCTCATTCTTAAGTTTCTTCTCAACCCTCAAACCAACTTTATTCACAAGAGTTTTCTATTGGTTGTCTCAATTCATTTACTTATCCGTCACGACACCAGCAAGTTCTTCAATGGCCTCATCAATCCAAAAGGAAGAATTGGTCGGTAGGCATATGAATTTGGAGCGTGATGACCAATAAGAAATCGACACATTGCGCCATATAGGTAGGTACTTATATACAGGGTTTTTCGAAATTCGACCGACAACGCTTGACAGGTGATAGCCCTCGTGATTTCATAATCACTGAGATAGGAACATTCGGTCTTCAAGTGTTCAGTTCTCGAGATACAGGGCGTTGAAGTTGAGAAATTAAAATAGTTTTTTCTCGATATCTCATGAAAAATTGAATTAAATGCATTCAAATTCGGTATATGGTTTGATCTTCCAATGGTTAATTTTTTGACCAGAAAGACATTCCGAGAATTTTATCCAGAGGTGCGCTACAGAGGGTTGTGATAACTTTTCCGCACATATTTTCTACGCCACTGATGAAATTTCAATTATTTCTAATTTCTCGAATTGATTGTTCAATTATGTTGAAAAAGTGCATCACCTTCAACTAAGCTAAAATGAACAGTTATCGAGATATTTGACCCAAAATAGAAGTTTGCATAGTAATTTTTCATCTTCCTCAGTATTAGAAAATTACGAACATTTTTGTTCTCTCTTTATGCGTGGAATAACTATTTCTGTTCAGCTATAGCATGAGATCTGAATAGTATCTAATCTACTCAACACCAGAAAAATATTTTTGCAATTATCTACTACTGAAATTGATGAAATATTACTATGCAATCTTCTATTTTGGGTCAAATATCTCGATAACTGTTCATTTTAGCTTAGTTGAAGGTGATGCACTTTTTCAACATAATTGAACAATGAATTCGAGGAATTGGAAATAATCGAAATTCAATCAGTGGCGTAGAAAATATGGAAGGAAAAAATGCCACAACCCCCTGTAGGGCACCACTGGACAAAATGTCCGGAATGGCTTCCAGGTCAAAAAATGGCCCATTCAAAGATGAAACCATATACCGAAGTTGAATGCATTATATTCAATTATTCTTGAGATATTGCGAAACAACTATTTTCATTTCTCAACTTCAACGCCCTGTATCTCGAGAACTGAACACTTGAAGACCGAATTTTCCTATCTCAATGATTATGAAATCACGAGGGCTATCACCTGTCAAGCGTTGTCGGTCGAATTTCGAAACACCCTGTATATCCATTCCTATATTGATTGCCGGTTCTGCATTCTGTGCAAGCAGGCAATGCTGTTTTGTAAGAATTCTGAATTTCCATCACCTGACATTCGTGGCATGCAGCATCATGGAGTAAAGTGCGCTATTGCTACTTGGTGTTGGAGTGCATGGGATTAACCAATAAAAAGGTTTCATTTCATCAACTCGTTCGCGCACTCAATTTCCAGGCATTCATGCACTATGTGCTTTTTGTTTCAGGCTTCCTAAAGGTGCCTATGCAATATCAATATGCATACCAATACAGGGTGATGTCCCTGCTCCGGGAACTACATCGATCAATATATAGGTAAGTATAGAAAACCATATAGGAATATATGGGCCGAATTAGAAAATTTGGGAGTTCACTATTGTTAATAAGTATATGTGCTATCCGGGCTAAAATAATTCGCAGATTGTGGCACTTCCGGTTGTACCGGAAGTGGACCCCAACTTCGTTATTTTAAATGGGATACCTATCCTGTATATTATCAAGGTTTTAGATTTTACGCATGATTCTGAACATGCTTCATGTATACTGTTCTATACCCAAGTCTATAACCGTTTTCGAAATATTTCAAATTTTATAGGTTGAAAACTGCGTTCGCAGACCGACAAATATTTTTTTCTACAAGCGTGCGTGATTCACCCTATACCCGCACGCAATTTAGTTTGGGAAGTGTCATTTTCCCGCAACAGTGCGGGAAAAAATTTCCCGCACTAGTGCGGGAAATCAAAGATATGATAAAATCGCTAGTAATTTAAGTGGTTGGTGATGGAATATAAAAGTTTAAGTTTGTTTGTTGCAGTATTAAGTATGTATGTTCAGAATCATCCATCAAATTGCACTATTTATTGTAAAAATTAAGAAATATTGAGAAATAAAAATTGATTATTATAAAAATCCCCCTATAGATTTTAATTGATCTGACGGGAAACGACAATTTGTCATGCCAATCAAACCTCAAATAAGTTTGATATTGTCGAAGTGACAGACACAGCGTTACTGTCATTTTCGATTCAGTGGAAATGCCACAATGTGATCAAAAACTTCTAGCTATAGGGATTTGATACAGATGCGTTATCACCAACGAAGTCTTAAGAAAGGTATGAGAAGCTATACACGCGTTTTATTGAATGGTGCAACAATAAAGAAATGAAAAAACCGAATGAAGAATAGGTATTTTTGGCTCATTTCATAGAAGTGTCTGGAACCTAGAGACCAAACTCCTAATGGGCCTGCTGGCTTCCGCAATGAACCAACATAATGCGTCAAACTGTGAGTTCACAATAGCTAATAATTAATAGATAGAGAATATATATCTCTTGTTAGTTGTTCCTATTTGCTTGAATAATTAATTGAACGATTCAATCAATTTCCTACGCTTGTAGAAAAAATATTGTTCCTAACTCATGCGGAAAGTTTCTTTCCCGCACTCGACTGCTTGTCAACGGCAGTCACGTGCGGGAAACAATCACTTTCCGCACTTGTTAGGAAAATTACTATTTTCTACTACTGTTATGAAAAGTAGCGAATTTCTCATATCTAACTCAGTTTCAAAACCATGATGTATTGCTCATACTGTGAGAAATAATTTTTCTCACGGCACTATGCCAACACCAAATACATTTCCATAGAGAATCAACAAAAATCGACCACAACTTGGCTGATGCTGTATACCTACCTATACAGCTTTGAATATAGTTGTCACAACTGTCAGAAGAAGTTTTTTAAATTCTTTAGGGTAGTTCTCAATAGTGCTCTTGATAGAAATCGTATTTTCCATCAAATATTATTCCAACAATTCATGATAAATAATATGATGTATATATCGAGATATGACGATTTTGATAAATACACCGCCAGTGACAGAGAACAGAGATAACGAAAGTAGCTTCGAAAGTTGGATTTGTTTCCGGAGATTTCATGAAAAAAGTATGAATTGGCATACACGAAAAATTTATGGAATCTAAAGAAATAGGTACATCATAAATGAAATCTTTCTCGGAAAGTGTATACTTCTTTTAAATACTATATAGGAACTAGGAAAGGCGTCTACTCTTTGGTCACAATTTAATTCAATGTGGCATAGTGCCACATTATAAAATGAATAGCAATAAGATATACATTACTCGGATTCTTTGAATAAGTGCAGTTGTAGAAAAAGTATAGTGTGCAAAATGCGTGGGAAAAAGCACTTTTCTCACTCGTGTGTTTGCACTCGTGGGAAAAGTTGAACTTTTCCCACTTGTTGCACAATAGGTAAGTACCTATACTATTTTTATTCCTGGACATGATCATTATAATTTTCGATTGTGTATCGATTTATTCGTAGGAGAGGACCCAGTTCAGTAGAATTTCGATATCAATTCGATTACAGTTATACAGGGCGTTCACCAGAAAATGATACAGAAAAAAATATTTTAAGTAACAATTTTTTCAAATGATAACCCCCAAATTTTATATTCTCATTCGATTCGGCATCGAATAAAATGAAGCTGTATCACCTCCTCAAATAATAGCATGTCTTTAAGGAACACCCTGTATAGTATATGCATGTGAAATATCATTACGCTGATGATTATGTTGGGGATGTCTACATTATATAATTGTTTACGATTTTACCAAAGGCCAGCATGAACATTGGTGATAAAGGAACTTTATAGGAACTATAGTGCAACCCTGTAGGCCATGTTGATTAATGCAGATTGCCTTCATTGAGTTGCTAAATACACAGACCCCAAACATAATTATTATGTAATCTCACAAAGAGACGAATTGAATAATATTCCATGGCATACACATCTCCGGTGTATATACATCTACATTGAGTTAGGCTTTATGGCAACGTAATGAAACCATAAATTGTTTAAATGTTGGCAACACAAATATTAGAGCTTCGTAAACCGATTTAATTTCCTGTGACCCGGCCGCATAACTATGGTAATCAAACTGGCATCAGGTGCTCTTTCCCTCCTGGATGACCGCTGATGTGCAGCTAATCACGATTGCCGCCGCATTTAGGCTCTATATTATATACTCAACTGCTTTCATTGATTGATTCTGATTGGAACTATGTGTACGGAACGAACATTTTGATTCGTATAATTACATCCTGAATATACTCGAAACAGCTTCACGAAATGCGATCCAGGTATACGTTAATATGATAGTTTATATATAATTGCAGTTCAGTATATACATATATACACCGAGAGAAATATCTACTATTAGCTGTTATACGAAACTGTAAAACCTTCAAAAAATTTTTGAATTGAATAGGCGCCAGCCATAGTTCCCTCTTCACTGTAATCAAGTCCATCATTTCAAAAAAATCATATAACTGGTGAAACAACACTTATAAGAGAATGAAATGAGGCTCATATCGGGGTCAAATGATAAGCATTCCAATAT